GAACAGAACAAGAGATATACTCTGTGGTTTAAAATCATGGAAAGTGGGTGTCAGGAACATATCCTTTCACTATACTGATTCAATCCATATGCTGACCAAATTTCAAAACTCTGGACTAGATGAAGAATGTGGCATTGGGGTTGGAAGAAAATTCATTAACACTCTGCAGTGTGGAGACAACACAATCTTGCTTGCTGGAAGCCAAGAGGACTTGAAGCACTTACTGACCAAGGTCAATGGTTACAGTCTTCAGTACAGATTGCAAACATCCTCACAACTGGACCGATAAACAGTATCAAGATAATTTCCAAAGAAGATTGTAGCCAAAGATTTTATTTCATTTGTCTCTAAAGTCAGCATACATGGAAGCAGAAGTCAAGAAATCAAAAATATTTCAAAAACTCAATAGATTTGCCTTGGACAAATTGATTGCAAAAGACTTCTTTAAAGTGTTTCTTTAAAAACAAAGGCATCACTTTGAGAACTAAAGTGCCTCTGACTCAAGCCACATGTGATCACTTTATATGCATGAAAAGCTGAATGAGGAAGACCAAAGAATTAATGCTTTTGAACTGTGCTGTCGGTGAAGAATACTGATTATTTTATAGAATACCAGGAACATGGCTAAATTCATCTTTTTAAAAAAATCTTAAGTTCTCTGAACACTTATTTCATTAGATATTTTAAAATATATTAAACCTTCATTAAAATTTAATTAAAATTTAAAAAATATAATTAAAAAATGTACTAACTAATTTCTGCCTGCTTTAGAGGATGATTGTGAGGATTTAGTGGGATAATACACGAGCAAGAACTTTATAAAAGTAAGTGTGTGTAAGAGGATGGCAACATCTACAAACCTGACTTGAAGGGAGTACAGCCAGATTTCTCCTTAAAGCAAGAATGGTGTTCATTTACAGTGATATCTTTGCTAATAAAGTGTCAGTCTCCTTCTTTAAAAATGAATCACCTGGAGATCTTGTTAAATGTGACTTTAAAGAAATAAAATAAGCAAGGATGGTGAGCTTCATTTCACATCCTTTGGGTATGTTACCAGGAAGATCCAGTTCCTAGAATAAAAGACATCAAGTTTGGTAAAGTCGAGGATCAGCGAAAAAGAGGAAGACCCTGTTATGTGGTATATAAGTTCTCCGAGTTAAAATTGACTCAGTTATCTAATAACAGCAGTAAACCTGAAAAACCAGAAACTAGGGAGGCAAGAATCTTGAAGCTCAGTCTCACATATGTTGGGCATGTTGCCAGGATGGACCAGTCCTTGAAGAAGGACATCATGCTTGGAAGGTGGAGAGACAGCACAAGAGAAGACGACCCTGCATGACAGGGATTGACACAGTAACCTGGGTAATGGGATTAGGTGGATTTGAGACACTAGGAATGTCTCAGGATAGGACAAGGTTCAGAACTCCTGTCTATAAATAGGGCCATGCTGAGTCGCAGGAAACTTGATGGAACATAACAACAACAATGGGGAAAGTTTCTACAATTCCTTCATAAGTTTAGGTCAAAGTTTTCATGTAACTATGCCAACTTCTAGCTTTTGTCCATATGCTTTTTATATTTGCAATAGCCGTATTCTATATTTTAAGTCATCCTTCCACATTATCCTAAATAGATTTTTCCAGTTTGTCTGATAAGGCAATCAACCAAATTACTCTGTAGCTAAGGATAATGGAGATGTCTGTAAGAGGTAACTAGGACCTGAGATATTTTCCCCCTTGGGGGAAAAAAAATTTCATTCTTGGAGAGTATAGTGGAGCTCAGTTTCATTGTCCTGACAGTTGATATACAAATGTTCAAGATCTAAAAGTCACATGAGAGGCTGTTTCCCTTCCCTTACTTGCTGTGTGCCCCTCCTGCCCACACATTTCCCCTGGCATAAGTAATAGTTCAAAAATACTTGATGCATGAATTTATGATCTTTTTCTTGGCTGAAGAGTGAAGGTGTAAAATGGGATTTCTTTGGAGTAGGAAGAGCAGACTCCAGTGTCAAGCCTGAGAACAGGGAAGGGTGGAACAAAGCAAAGCAGACCAGAAAGGGAGCTGAAAACCCCACCGTAAGCTCCAGTTATACTGGCCAGGAGGAAACATGTGATTCCCTGAATTATGCCCATTCAAGATAGTCAGCCAATGAAGAATGATGTCTGTAAACCATGTCAAAGACCTTCTGTCACATTTGGGGGCTGGGGTTGTTTTTAAAGAGTTGTTTACATATCGGGTCTCCACTCACCTTGAATGAAACATCTGGAAGGGGAAAGGAGAGAAAAGAAGTGGTAGCAGTGTGCTTTGGAACAACTCATGCAATATTCTCAGAGGAGAGGATTCTTAAACTACAGTCTATTGGCTTTCCTCTGGGCACCAAGGGGGGGGGGGACTTCAGGGTGCTGTGAAAACTCTGTATTGTAAACTCTGTGTGTGTGTGTGTGTGTGTGTGTGTGTGTGTGTGTGTGTGTCTGTCTGTCTTAGGGGAGGACACAAGCTTGCATCAGATTCTCATATCTTTTGGTTATACATTTACTCCTTCTACTTCTTCAAGTATGTTTCTTCTAAACCCATCATTTCTCATTAAACTATAGAGTTGGGGACGAAAGGTGGGGCTAAAAGAGAAAATATATAAAACATAGAAGACCAGAGCACTGGCCCTATTGAAGGTCCTTCAGTTAATTTAGTCAACACATGCGAAAATCTTTGAGCATCCAACATATATACAAGAACTCATAAAAGTTAGCTCTTATAAATAATATTATTCTATGCCAAGTACTTCATGATTTCTCATCTCACAATTACGCTATAAGGTCAGCACAAGTCCCATGTTCTATTTATGAGGAAATTTAAACTCAGATTGAGTAACTAACCCAGGGTCACTCCTGTGGTGGGGTTCAGTCTATCTAATTCTAAAGCTTGGACTCTTCCAGTTCACCACATGGTCTCAATTACAGCCAGGCTTTAGGTCTAGAAGCCTCTCTTAAGGCCTTCAGAGCGAAAACCTTGGCATGTTATTCTAAGTTCGTCCATCCCAATAGGCACCGAGCCTAAAAACGAGCTTCTTTAAGCCAAATCATAATGTGCTTGGTTACATAATATGGTCCCAGTTATCCCACTCAAGCCAGTTTCTCTCCCAGAGTATCAAATGTTAATTGAAAAAAAAAAATCACTTATCATGGTTAACCCTCTAGCCTTTAAGACAAAGAGCACTGGAGACAAAATAGGTGAATGGCTGGACAGTAAGGTCAGGAGTTCAGAACCATCAGTGCTTCGTTGGAGAAACATGAAGTAGTCTGTTTCTGTAAATATTTACAGCTTCATGAACTCCACAGAGCAGTTCTACTCTGTCCACTAGTATTACTGAGTTGGAATCACTTAGATGGCAGTAAGTGAGTGAGTGAGTGAGGGCTTTTTGGTGTAACCAAGTCACATGCTAGAAAGGAAGAATGTTTTCCATCAGTCTCAGGCCAGAGTGAGAAGCTCCGAGCCAAGCCTACTTTTTTCTTGTTTCAAATCCCTGCTAAAAAGTATAGTTAAAGATTAGCTATTAAGACAAGCTTCCATCACCTGAGACTCGATGATTGTACTGTACTTTGTACTGTATTTTTCCCCTATACTATACTATACTATGCTATACTATACTATATACTATATACTATATACTATATACTATATACTATATACTATATACTATATACTATATACTATATACTATATACTA